CCATCGGCTCCCCTTGAGCCCGGCCACCAGGTTCCGCGCCTGCCAGTTTTCATCGTGTTCAGCCTGGTGGGCAGGGCCGCACTGCCGATGTGCGGCGTGATGACCAGGTTGTCCAGCGTCAGCAACGGGTCATCGACGGCGATGGGCTCCGGCGAGGTCACGTCCAGGGCGGCCCGCGCGATCTGCCCGTCGCGCAGCGCCTCGTACAGCGCCGCCGGATCGACCACCGGCCCCGCGACACGTTGATGAGGATGGCCGAGGGTTTCATCATCGCCAGTTGCGGACCGCTGATCAGGTGATGCGTTGCGGAGTCAGCGGCACACTGAGAACGACGAAATCGGCCTGCGCCAGCAGGTCGGGAAAACTCGGCGTAGCGCAGGCCATGCTCCGCTTCGGCATCAGGATACCGGGTGCGCGAGTGGTACACGATGTCCATGTCGAACCCGCCGGCGCGCTTGGCGATCTCACGGCCGATCTGACCCAATCCGACAATGCCCAGGCAGGCTTCATGCACATCCTGTCCCAGCCAGTGGGTGGGGTGAAACTGGATCTGCCAGCCGCCGCCGCGCAACCAGCGTTCGCTCTCCGACGTGCGCCGCGCCGCGCCCAGCAACAGAGCCATCGCCAGGTCGGCGGTAGACTTGGCCAGCACTCCGGGCGTATAGCCCACCGGGATGCCCCGCCGCGTTGCCTCGGCCACATCGACGTTGTCCAGACCCACCGCCAACTGGCTGATCGCCCGCAGCGTGGGGCCGCGTCCAGCAGGTCGGCGTCCACGCGGTCCATGATGGTGGTCAGAAATCCCGTCGGCATCACCGCAGTGCCGGCGCAGTTCCTCGACCGATGGCGGCGTTTCCTCCGGCCACACGGTCACGTCGCAACCTCCCGGATGATGTCCCAACGCCTCGGGAAGCAGGGTGCGGGTTACGAAAGCGCGAGCGGTCGACATGGCATCTCACCAACGAATGTAATCGAATGTAATAACGACGTTCGAATTGGCCGCCGTCCCACCGATTGTAGTAGCGCGGGTTATTCGTTGCCAGTATTACGTCCGGGGCGTTTCGGCGGATGTTGCGTCAACCGAAAAAAGGGCCGCCGCATTGCTGCGGCGACCCTTGCCAGCTATCGGGCGACGCCGGGAGGGCGGCGCCATCCTTTGGCAGGTGGCGGCTGACTAGGCCAGTTTGGTGAAAACCGTCGCGGTAGCCGCGGGTCTCGGCGATTTCCCGCTCCAGGCGGGCGCGGTTGGTCATCCCCGGGCCGGCCACCACGTTCCACAGGGCGACGAAACTCGCCATGATGGTCGCCTGGACGGAGGGCTTGCGGGTGTTTTCCCACTGCTCGAGCAACTCGGCCGGGGTTTCCGGGATCGCGGAAACGTCGACGGCGGCGGGCTGAGCGGGCGCCTCGGCGGTTTCGGCAACCGCGGACTTGGTTTCGATTTCAGGATTGATTGCGGTAACCATTTGCTTGCTCCTCGTGGCTAATAGTAATAGCCGGTGATCATTTGTAATTATGATACCGATCCGGCGATATTCCGTCAATAGATATTGCGCGATAGATCATATCGTATGTATCGATGCAAAAGGCGGGTTCCAAACCCGCCCTCAACAATCGCCTTGGTCTCGCCGCCCGATGTGCTACAACGTCAATTTCCCCGGATTCATGATGCCCGCCGGATCCAGCGCTCGCTTGATATCCAGCAGCGCATCCCTGCTGACTCCCAACTCGCGACCCAACAAGTGGTGCAGCTTGATGCCGACGCCGTGGCAGTACTCCATGATCCCGCCCATATCCTGCGCCAGCGTCAGCACTTCGTCCACGCCGGCCGCCAGGTTGTCCCTTACCTCGGGATCGTAGCCGTCCCGACCAACCACCCGGCGATCACCGTCGGGCACCACCAGCAATGAGAAGAACTCGGGGCGGCTCCACAGACAGTACTCCACCACCTTGATCTTCCGGGCCTCCAGCATTTGGTCAGCCCGGCGCCGGTACTCCAGCACCCGGTCGGCCGGCAGGCTCATGTGCAGGTAGTCGAACGTGCGGCCCCCATTGCCTCTGCCAACGTTCCTCGCGAGGCCGTCCCAGGGCAGTCTGGCGATAGTTCAAAGCGGAGTCATGCCGATGCTTCCAATAGGACAGGGTCGGCTCCGGGCCCACGTCCCACCCGCCTGCCGCGTCGCAAACTGACATGGTGCGCCGCAGCGCCGCATCCACGCCCTTCCCGATAGCCCTCGAAGAGGAGGTGCAGCAGGATGCCTTCGCTGTCCTCAGTCAGATCCAGCAGCGTCGGGCGGATGCCCAGGGCGGCCATTTCTGACACCGCCATGAAGCCGGCGTCGAAATCCGTGAATTCCATCGTCGCGTACTCGGCGGCCTCGGGCTGCCGGAACACGCGCAGGGTGGCCCGGGTGATCACGCCGAAGACGCCCTCGCTGCCAATGAACAGGTGGTTCAGGTCCGGGCCGGAGGACTGCTTCGGCACGGGTCGCGTCTCGATCACGCGGCCGTCGGGAAGCACCACTTCCAGCGCCACCACCTGGTCGCCCATGGGGCCGAAGGCGGCGGCGCGATAGCCCACGCCGTTGGTGGAGATCGTCCCGGCCACGCTGGCAATGGGTACGCTGTAAGGGTCATGCCCCGGCATCAGGCCGTGGGGTTCCAGGCCAGCGTAGAGGTCTTCGAGGATCATCCCCGCCTCAACCTCCGCGGTCTGCGATACGGTGTCCACGCGCAGCAGTCGGTTGAGCCGGCCCAGGTCGAGGATGATACCGCCGTGAACCGGCAGCACTCCGCCCATCACCCCGGTTCCGCCGCCGTAGGGGATTACCGGAACCGAGCGTTCCTGGGCAAATGCAACAACCTGGGATACCTGCGCCGTATCCGCCGGCCGAACGATCGCATCGGCCAGCCGGTCGAAAGCCGCGTCGGCGTAGTAGGCGCGGTATGGCGTCAGGGCGTCGGCCGAATAGCGGTCAATCTCTACGGGGTCAGTGAGGACGTGCTCCGCGCCGACTATCGGAGCAAGGCCGGCAACCAGATCGCCCAATGGCGGTCGGTCGGTATCTGAAGCAGACTGCGCGGAGGCGGACACGGGGGACAACGCTATTCGGTCGTCTGCCGCTGCCACTGGGTGCCTTGGGCGCCGTCTTCAAGGCTCACGCCCTGCTCGGCGAGGCCGTCCCGGATCTGGTCGGCCAGGGCGAACTGGCGGGCGGCCCGCAGTTCGGTGCGCACCGATACCAGCAGGTCGATGAATGGAGTCGCGGCGAGGTCGGCCTCGGGAGCCGGGCGGTCCACGAAAGTCAGTCCCCAGCACGGCTCCCAGCTCGCGCAGGGCCGCCTGACCCGAGCCCACGCTTTGGCCGGCGTCCCGGCCGCGGTTGATGTCCCGCGCCAGGTCGAACAGCGCGGCCACCGCCTGGGGAGTGTTGAGGTCGTCGTCCATGGCCGCAGCGAACCGGACGCGGTGGGTGTCGGCTTCAACCTCGGCTCCGGCGCCGTTCCCGGGGATGAGCGCCCGCCGTACCCGCTCCAGGCTCCGCTCCACCGCTGCGGCGCCTTCGTCGCTGTAGGCCAGGGGGCTGCGATAGTGGCTGCTGAGGAAATAAAGCCGGATGGCGTCCGGGCTGTAGCGTTCCAGGGCTTCCACCACCGACACCAAGTTGCCCAGCGATTTGCTCATCTTGTCGGAGCCCAGCTGCAGCAGGCCATTGTGCATCCAGTAGCGGGAGAACGGCTTGGCTCCGGTATAGCACTCGCTCTGCGCGATCTCATTTTCGTGGTGGGGGAACACCAGGTCCTGCCCGCCGCCGTGGATGTCGAGCTGCTCGCCCAGATATTCCAGCGACATGGCGGTGCACTCGATGTGCCAGCCGGGACGGCCCGGTCCCCACGGGCTCTCCCACGAGGGTTCGCCGGGCTTGGCCCCCTTCCACAGCACGAAATCCATGGGATGCTCTTTGTTCTCGTCCACCTGGATCCGCGCGCCGGCGATCATGCTGTCCAGGGTGCGATGGCTGAGCTTTCCGTAGTCGTCCTTGCTGGTCACCCGGAAATACACGTCGCCCGCGGCCGGATAAGCGTGGCCGCGATCTATCAGGCCGGATATCGCGTCGATAATCCGCGGAATTTCACGCGTGGCGCGCGGGTATTCGGAGGCGCGCTGGATGTTCAGCGCGTCCATCGTATCGAAGTAGTCGCCGATGAACTCCTCGACCAACTCGTCCTCGGAGACGCCGGACTCCTGCGCTCGCTGGATTATCTTGTCGTCAATATCGGTGAAGTTCTGGACGTGGCGGACCTCGTAGCCCTTGTGCTCCAGGTATCGCCGCAGCGTGTCGAACATCACATAGCTCAACGCGTGTCCGACGTGGGTGGAGGAGTACGGAGTCACGCCGCACACGTACATCTTGACCAGGTTGCCGTCGGAGGGAACGAACTCCTCAACCTGTCCGCTCAGGGTGTTGTAGAGCTTCATACTAATCTGGATTGACGACGGCGATTACGCCCATTTTGGTATCGTGCGGTGTCACGGCCGGTACAGCAACGCTACGGCGACGGCCGCGATGCCCTCTTCCCGCCCGGTAAATCCCAGGTAATCGGTGGTGGTGGCTTTGACGCTGACCTGCGACTGTTCTACGGACAGGGCGGTGGCGATGTTCCGGCGCATCAGCGGCACATGGGGTGACAACCGGGGGCGTTGCGCCAGCATTGTAGCATCAACGTTGGCGATGCACCAACCACCCTCGGCCAGCACTCCAACCGTGCGTTCCAGCAGCAGCAGGCTGCTGATCCCGGCCAGCGACGGGTCTTCGGGTGGAAAGTGCGTTCCGATGTCGCCGCAACCGGCAGCTCCCAGCAGGGCGTCGATCACCGCGTGGCTGAGCGCGTCGCCGTCGCTGTGGCCGGCCAGGCCCGCGGGATGTGGGACGGTCACGCCGCCGAGCACCAGCGCGCGCCCGGCAGCCAGGGCGTGGGCGTCGGCTCCGTTTCCTACTCGATACTCCACCGCTGGCCTCGCTGGGGCAACCCGCGACCCCGCCCGGGCGCCTACGCTCGCTCGATGGACTTGAGAGTCCGGTGCGCTTCCTCGATGTCGTTCAACGGCCCGCCGTAGGCGATGATCGGTGCGTAACCGATGATGATCGCTGCGAGAAACGCCAGCGCCGACCCGGATGCGACGATGTCCGCGTTGGTGGGTTCGCCGCCAATTCTCAGCTGCGAATAAAACGCGTCGGCCTGGGCCGCAAAATACGCCGGCGCCGACACGTCCATGTGGGCGGCCAACAGCATCACCAGCGGCGCCACGCAGACCAACCCCAATATGGACCAGATGACAACCCACGCCATAAATGTGTTCCGCTCGGCATTGACCTTCGAGCGCAAATGCTCCAGCCGGGCCGGAGCAACCGCCATGTCCAACCGGTCCGCGCTCACCCGCAGGAATAGAGCGTACTCCCGGTAACGAGAGCGACGGTTGACAGTGCTGGCAACCATGGTGATCCTCCGCCTGTCGAAACCCTTTGTCCAAACACGCGAATGTTTTCTTCACATGCACGCGCCCATGCGTGACAACGGACGACATGAAACATCGTAAGCATATAGGTCAGCCTGTTGCAAGCAGACTCGTGCGCCGTTTGTGGGAGATTCGGCTTATCCCCGTCCCAATAGCAGACTGACCATATCCAGATCCTCCGGCGTGGTGACCTTCAGGTTATGGTAATCACCCCAAAAAACCGTCACCCGGTGGCCCGCTGCTTCAACCATCGCCGCGTCGTCCGTGTATTCGACCCCGGCGGCGCGATGGGCATCCAGCAGTATTTGGTAGTCGAAAACCTGCGGAGTTTGCGCTGCCCACAGGGTGGCGCGGTCCGGCGTATCCGAAATCACCCGTTCCTCGCCCACCACCTTGATCGTATCCTTCACCGGCACCGCCGCTATCGCCGCGCCCGTTCCCCGAACCTCAGCGAGCGCACGCTCCAGGACATCTCCGGAGACGCACGGGCGCGCCCCGTCGTGAACGGCCACCCAGCGCCGCTCGCCCATGGCCAACAGCCCGGCGAACACCGAATCCTGGCGGCGGGCGCCTCCGGCGCACACTGCCACGATTTTGGCAATGTCCAACTCCCGCACTACCGCTTCGCCGTCGGGCACCGCGTCGGCGGCAACCACCAGCACTATGCGGTCCACCGCGTCCGACGCCGCTATGCGCCGCAGCGTATGGGCAATCAGGGGAGTTCCGTGGACATCGGCAAAGGTCTTGTCGGTCCCGCCCATGCGGGTGCTGCGCCCGGCGGCGACCACTACAACACCCAGAAGATCTTCGGATGTCTCGCGTCTGGCGTCGTTCAATTTATAATTCGCCCAAAATTCTGCGCGCTTGGCGTTGCAGCCCAACATAGTTTATGATTTAGCCGTCGTAGGGATCAATATCACTATAAGGGAATATCCGCGGAGCGCGTTACGCCAGAGGGGGAACGATGGCTGCATTGGAAATGGCCTATCACGTGGAAACGTACAGCTCGGGAACCCACGGCAGAGCGATCTGCAACGCCCGCACGCATCACTGGGTCGCCGATGACGGCGGCGGCGACGCGGTGGGAGCCGGGGAACTGTTCCTCTCCGGCATCACCGCCTGCGCCGTGAACATGGTCGAGCGAATCGCCTTGACCGACGACTCCCCGGTGGACTTCATGGAAGTGACCGCCGAAGCCTTCCGCGATCCGGAAGCAACCCCCGGCGACGTTAGCCTTTACGCCGACGTGCGCATCCACTTCAAGATCTGGGGCGTTGACGACGACCAGGGCAACTACCTGGTGGACACGTGGAAAAAGCGTTGACCGCTGTATGGTTCGGTCGCCGTGGCGACCCCTAGCACTTCCGTCACCGCCGAGTTCGTCACCGAGGCGCGCCAGAAGCACGCCGGCCGCGCCGCGTAGTTCCTCGCACTTCCCTCGCCGCCTGCCGGCGAAACATCTGTCCCCGTCCCGCCGGCGGGATCCTGCCGGAACGGCGGGGACGGCAAATCGCGGCGCTCCCATCGAGCGTTGCCGTGAATGGGTTCGGCTCAGCGCGTGGCTTGTTCCATATCTGAGTTCCATTCCGGATCTGAGTTCCATTGCGGCGCAGGTCAAACACCGGCGCTACACGTTTAGCAGGGAGATCTGAGATAGAGTTCCCGCTGGCCATATTCGCAGCCGGCTTAACAGACGCATCAGCCGGATTGCTGAAAGACTTTGCGATCGCGATGGCCATCGCGGCTGTTGGTCTGGCGCTAGCCCGGCTGGTCTGGCAGCCACCCGTGCTCGGTTACCTCATCGCCGGGTTGTTGATTGGGCCGTACACCCTGCCCCACCCGGTGATCAGCAACCTGGACACCATCGAGTTGCTTGCCGAACTGGGGTTGATCCTACTGTTGTTCGGAATCGGCCTGGAGTTGGGCTGGCGGCGCATCCGGGAAATTGGTCTGCGGGTGCTCGTCATCGGCGCGGTGGAAATCTCCGCCCTGACCTATCTGGGCACGCTGATAGCCGACAAGCTGCTGGGCATATCCGGCGTCAGCAGCCTGTACCTGGGCGGCGCCCTCGCCATCAGCAGTTCGGCGATCCTGCTCAAAGGTCTGCGCGACAGCGGCAACCTGCGCTCCGGATGGGGACAGACTGTGGTTGGCATCCTCCTGGTGGAAGACTTTGCCGCCGTCATCCTGCTGACCCTGCTGGCCGGCGTGGCGACCACCGGTTCCACCGACCTCGTCGACGTGGGATGGTTGGCTGCCAAGCTCGGCATCTTCTGCATCGCGGCGCTGGGCTTCGGCGCGCTGCTGGCGCCGCGGCTGATGCGGTTCCTCTCCCGGATGCAATCCGACGAGACCCTGTTGGTCGCTTCGCTTGGCTGCTGCTTCGGTTTGGCGCTGGGCGCCGAGTTCCTCGGATTGTCGTCGGCGGCCGGGGCCTTCCTCATCGGCGTCGTGATCGGCGACACCGACGCGGCCGGACGGGTGACGCGGTTGGTCAATCCAGTGCGCGACATGTTCGGCGCCCTGTTCTTCCTGTCCATCGGGATGCTGATCGACTACCGCACGCTGGACGATTACATCGTGCCGGCCCTGGTGGTGGTCGGAGTTTTCATGGGTGGGAAGATCGCCGCCAACACCATCGGAGCGGTACTGGCCGGCCGGCGGTCCCGCACCGCGGTCCAGGTCGGCATGACCATGCCACAGATGGGCGAGTTTTCGCTGGCGATCGGCCATCTCAGCGCAAGTCACGCGGCGGCCGGCCCGATTGTGGGTCCGGTGCTGGCCATCTCCACCGCCATTACGGCAGTCCTCGCGCCGTTGACCTCCCGGATAGCCACTCCGACGTACGACTGGCTGGAACGGCGTGCGCCCCCGGCGGTGCTGGCGGTCAATCTGGTCATCTTCCTGGCGATCCAGTCGTTCTGGGCCGCGTTCTCCCTGCCCGGGGAGACGGGACGCCTGCTGAAAAACTCGGTGCGCCGCATCATCATCGACATCTGCATCATCGCGGTGCTGACCGCCATCGGCACGGCGGCGGTATATGCCGTACCCGACTTGCTGGCCGAACCGGAATCAGTGTCCCATGCGCTGCTGGGCATGATCCTGGGCGGCGCCACGGTGGGAATCAACGTGCCCGCCGCCATAGCCATCTGGCGAGAATTGCGCGTGGTCGCCAGCCTTACGGTTCGGGCGGCGGCACGCGACACCGCGGGTCAGCCGGCGCGCTACACACCCTTCGAACCCTGTTGCGCGACGGGATGGCCACCGCCTTTCTGCTGGTCGGCGTCCTGCTGCTGATCCCGTTGATCATCCGGCTTTTCGCCCTGGGAAGCCTGTCGGTCCCACTCTCCGCGTTCCTGCTGTTGGCATCGGCCGGTGCTCTGGTGTTTGCCGGCTTCCATGTCCACCGCGTGCTTCAACCGGTGTTCCGCAATACGTTCATCGCTCCTCCGGCTCCCCGGCGCACCGACGCGCCAAGCTCCAGCGCCTTTGAAGCGATGGACGTGGAGAGCCCGGCCTTCAATCACTGGGCCGACCCTGACGCGCAACCCGTCCAGCAGGCGCGCGCCGGCGCGGCCGCCCAGGCTGCCGAAGACTCCACCGAGGATCTGTGGCGTTTCCTGGAAGAGCGCATCGAGCTATTCAGCCCCACGTCGGCGCAGCAAGCTGAAGATGCTGAACCGGCTGCCCAGCGGGAGGCGGACTAGGGCTGCCGCCGGTACAGTGCTACAATGCGTCCAGTCACTATCAGGCAGGCGACACGATGCGAATTTGCTCTTTTCTGCCCTCAGCCACCGAGATCGTTTACGCGTTGGGGCTGGAGGACCAGCTCCACGGCGTAACCCACGAGTGCGACTACCCGGCCCAGGCCAAAAACAAGCCGTGGGTGGTCCGCAGCGTTTTCGAGGGCACTCAACCCAGCAGCGGCGAGATTAGCCGCGTGATATCCGAGCGCCTGGCCGAAGGCTTGGGGATCTATCACATCGACCAGGAGATCCTCGACGCGGCCAACCCGGACCTGCTGCTGACCCAGGCCATCTGCGAGGTTTGAGCGGTGTCTTCTCGGCAGGTCGCCGAGTCCACCGTCAACATGGAGAAGCAGCCCGAGGTCCTGTCCCTGGACCCGCAATACCTTGGCGACGTCCTGGAAGACGTGCTCCGGGTGGGCCGAGCCACGGGGTCCGAGTCCGTTGCCGAGCGGGTGACGGCCCAGATGCAGGGTCGTATCGACGGCATCACCCAGCGCGCCGAGTTGGCCGATACCCACCCGCGGGTGTTGCACTTGGAATGGACCGACCCGCTCATGTGCGGGGGCCATTGGGTTCCGGAAATGGTCGAGCTGGCCGGCGGAACCAACTGCTTCGGCGACAAGGAGATGGGTTCCTTCCCTCTGGAGTGGGACGCCGTCGTCGAGAGCCAACCGGAGGTCATCGTCGTCATGCCCTGCGGCTTTGAGGTCCCCCGGGCCATGCAGGACCTTCCCCTGCTCACCGAGAAGGAGGAATGGAGTTCTCTCCCGGCGGTGCAGAACGACCGCGTGTACGTGATCGACGCCAGCAATTACACCAGCCGTTCCGGTCCGCGACTCGTGACCGGTCTGGAGATCCTGGCCGAGATGATCCATCCCGAGCTCTTCTCCGGCATGATCCCCGAGGCGGGAGCGCGCCGAATTTACGGCGCCGGCTAGAGAGGCGTTTCATGACCACCAAGTACCCGTCCACTGGCGCACATCCGACGCTAACGGAGCTGCCCGACCCTCCCAGACCCCCGGATGCCATGAAGCAACGCCGACACGTCGCTAGCGCTGACCAGGTACTCCGCAGCTATTTCAGGCGCCAACCTGACACATTGGTATCGGGCGAAGGGTATCTCTGCTATCAAGCTCGCGATGCCCGCACGTCTCCACATCCTGACTGTCTGGTCGCAATCGGTCTGACGATACCGCCGGAGATGATCGAAAATGTGGCCAACGGATACGTCATCAGCGAGATCGGTCGCCCGCCGGATTTCGTGCTCGAGGTAGCGTCTCCGAGCACGGGCGTGCGTGATTACACCACGAAGCGGGATGACTATGCCCGGCTGGGGGTCAAGGAATATTGGCGGTTTGATCCCAGCGGGGGTGCGTGGCACGATGCGCCGCTGGCGGGGGACTCCCTCGTGGCAGGAACGTACCAACCGATCCCGGTCTTTGGATCCGTGGATCAGGCGGTGCGGGGCTACAGCACGGCATTGGGCCTTGAGTTGCATTGGGAGGAGGGCTGCCTGAGATTCCGGGAACCCGATTCGCGGGAATTCCTACCGGATCTGATTGAGGCGTTGGACGCCCTGGCGCTGGCAGAAGCCCGGGCTGCGGGAGCAGAAGCCCGGGCTACGGGAGCAGAATCTCGGGCTACGGGAGCAGAATCTCGGGCTGCGGGAGCTGAAGCCCGTGCGGCCGCGGCAGAACAGCGCGTGCGGGAACTCCAAGAAAAACTGCGTCGTCAGTCCGGCAGTTGAGCGCCCGTCAGTAGCTGATGCCGGCCCGGCGCTAATTCAGGCGCGGCCCCTTGAACGGCGTGTTCTGCTCCACCTGTTCCGCGACGATGCGATTCGCCTGCCGCATCAGGGTCTGCAACTTCTCCAGTTGTCCGCCCGCGGTGGGCGTTTCCAACAGCGACTGTCGAACATCGGGCGGCAGGGGCAGGCTCACGGCCAACGTGGATGAGGCAATGCGAGCCAGGGCGATGGGCTCATCGGGAACCGTGATCTCCCGGTCCCAACCGCCGGCCATGGCGGTGAGTTGACGCTGCAACTGGATGAACTGTTCGCGCACACCGGCCAACGCCGTGGCAGAAACGTCCCCCTCGTCCTCTTCCATGTAGCGAACCAGCCCAACCAGGTGGGGCACGGTCCGCACCGTTTGCAGCAGCTCGAAGCGGGTCTCGCCGCGGGTCAGGATGTTCAGACGGCCTTCTTGCAGGCGTTGAACCTGCGAAACGCGGGCCGTTGTCCCCACCGAATGCGGCTCGGCGGGTTCTCCAACCTCGTTGCCTTCCCTGATCAGCAGCACCCCGAACGGTTCATCCCGGTCGACACAGTCGCCGATCATGGCCTTGTACCGCTCCTCGAAAATGTGGAGCGGCAGGGGCATGCCGGGGAACAGCACCACATTGTTCAGGGGGAACAGCGACAGCTCGTGGTAGGTTCCCGGCGGGAAATCGTCAGGATTGATCGCCATGATGCCGCAGTATAACCACGGGCCGTAGGCGCAGCAACCCGCACGACGAGACGCCCCCGTCCGGTGAGAACGGGGGCGCCAATGACTGACCGTATGTTGCCGGTTACTTGACCGGTTCCGCATCCGGCGGTCGGTTGTGAATGGCCTTGGTGCCCTTCTTGAAGATGCACGTCCGGATGTTGTTCTCCAACTCCTTCGGGTCTGCAACGCCGGGGTAGCGGGCCTGGGCTTCCGGGCTGCTCAGATATGCGTACATCTTTTCGAGTACTTCATCTTCGGACTCACCCACGATAACCGTCCGGTCCCGAGGATCCGAAAGGAAATTACTTGGCCGAGCGTAATAGATATCGGGCATGGTTCCTCCTCCGTGGCAAGGCTACCAATCCTAGGATTGGCGCACGCAAGCAGTGGCAAATTGATACACCAAAATCCTTCACGTTGTCAACATGGCCTCCGCCATCCTCAGGGTCTTTCCCGCCATCGCCGCCCCCCGTTGCAAGCGACCTGGCTGCCATTCACAGCACCGGAGTGTCATTGCGAGCGCAGCGTGGCAATCTCGTCGCGCCATGGCACGCGCTCTCGCCGGCAGTAGTCGCACCGCCCCGTTGCTGCCGCGTCCTCCCATTCCCGACGGTGACAACCCCATCACCCTGCCGCCACCGCCGCCCCCGGTTGCGAGCGGATTCAGTCCAAACGCACCGGGTCAACATCAACCCGGCAGTTCCTCGGGATACTCCGCCCTTCCAGGAATTGCCAGATCCTGCGGCCCCGCAGCAACAATCGCCAGCGGTACCGCCCGCGCACTCGTTCGGGAAGACAGGGTGTCGGCCCGATAATGTCAACGTCATCCCTACCTTCACGCACCGCCTGCTCCCGCCAGGACTCGACCAGCTCTCCCAGGGTCTGCTGGACCGCGCGGATGCTGAGGTCCGAGCAAACCACCTGGGCCAGCCGGTTGAAGGGCGGGTTGCCCTGGTGACGCCGCGCTTCAATCTCAATCCCGTAGAACGCGGCATAGTCCTGCTCCGACGCTGCTGCAATGGCGTAGTGGTCGGGCTGGTACGTCTGGATGATCGCCCGGCCCGGCTCGTCGCCCCGTCCGGCCCGTCCGGCCACCTGGCAGAGCAGGGCAAACGCCCGCTCGCCGGCACGAAAGTCCGGGAGGTTCAGGCCCAGGTCGGCCAGCAGCACGGCCGATAGCGTCACGTTCGGCAGATCCAACCCTCGCGCCACCATCTGGGTTCCCACCAGGATCCGCGCTTCACCGCTGGACAGCCGGCCCATCGCCGCTTCCAGCTGCGCCGGATTTCGGACCGAGTCCGAATCCCACCGTTCGATAGTCACGTCGGGATAGCGTTGCTGCAAATGGGATGCCACCGTCTCGGTTCCGGCGCCCATCTCCCGGATTCGGCCGCCACGGCACTGCGGGCAGGCCCGGGGCAATCGCCGCTGCCGGTTGCAGTAGTGGCAGATCAGCCGACCCGACTCGCGATGAAAGGCATAGGCCACGGAACATCGGCTGCAATTGATCACGCCGCCGCAGTCCCGGCATTGCATGAACGCCGCGCTGCCCCGGCGGTTCAGGAATAGGATCGCCTGCCGGCCGGCCTCCAGCGTGGAGTCCAGCGCCTCGGTGAGGCCGCGACTGAAGACGCTGCGGTTGCCTTCCCGCAGTTCCCGCCGCATGTCCACCACGCTTACGTCGGGTAGGGGCGTGGCCCGTCCGTCGGGATGCGGTACGCGCTCCGGCAGCCGCAACAGGTGGTGACGCCCGCGCGTCGCCTCGTAGTACGTGCTGACATCGGGCGTGGCCGAACCCATCACCACCACCGCGCCCGAACGCCGGGCCAGGGCCAGGGCGGCGTCCCGCGCATGGTAATAGGGAGGATGCTCGTCCTGCTTGTAAGCCGGTTCGTGCTCTTCGTCCACGATGACAATGCCCGGGTTCAGGGCCGGCGCGAACAGCGCGCTGCGCGGCCCGACCACCACGTCGGCCTGTCCATCCCGTATCCTCCACCACTCCTCGAACCGTTGCCTTTCCGTCAGGCGGTGGTGCAGGACGGCAGCGCGACCGGGAAACCGGTCGTTCACGATGCCAACCGTCTGCGGCGTCAACGCGATCTCCGGCACCAGGTAAATGGCCTGCTTCCCCCGACCAACAGCATGGGCGATGGCCCGCAGGTACACCTCGGTCTTGCCGCTGCCAGTCACGCCGTGGAGCAAAAAACTGCGCGGCAGGACATTCGGGTCGTCCAGCGCGGCGGTGATGCTGTTCAGAGCATCGGCCTGCGCCGCCGTGAGATGCTTCGGCGGTGGGTTGGCCGGCGCCACGCCCGCAGGAGTCTCGGGCTCCACCCGTCGCCATTCCTCCGCCACCAGTCCACGCTGCAGGAGCGCGTCGGCCGCCGACCCCAGGAGGCTGGCGGTTCCGGTGGTGTCGTAGCCGGCGGCGGCCTCCCGCACGGCAGCCAGCAGTTCCACCTGGCGCGTGCCTCGCGTCTGCGGAGCCGACTCGCCTTCCTCGCCGGCATCGGTATACTGACCGGGGATCAGCAGGCGACGATAACGATGGGATCGCGGACGGGGCAGGCTGACCTCCTTGCGCACCAGGCCACGCCCCACCAACCGTTGCAGTTCCCGGCGGGCGACGTTGGCGTGATTAGGGTCAATGCGTTTCAGGAACGTGATTTCCTCCCAGGCCCGTGCGGAGTCGACCAGTTCCTGCCACGCGGCGCGGGTGGATTCACGGAAAGACGCCAACCCGCCCGAATCCTCCGGGCCAGGGACCGCAGTCAATCGCGACCGCTGTTGCGCGCGAAAGCCCGGCGGCAGCGCCGGCGCGACTGCCTCAAAGGGAGAACACCGGTAGGTTTGCCCCAGCCACTCGGCCAGCTCCAGCCCCAGCGAACCAACCAAGGGAGACGGCTCCATCGGGTGCAGGATGTCCCGCGTTTCCTCTTCCGACACCGCCGACGCGTCCGCCAGGGTCAGCACAACCCCCTGAACGATGCTGCGCCCGAATTGCACCCAGACCAGTTGTCCGGGTTCCACCGGCAGATGTCGCGGTATGCGATAGGAAAAAGTCCTGCCCGGCGATATCCAGTCAGCGTCTATGGCGACGTCGGCGTAGTTCACGGTGCGACCTCGTTTTTCACCCCTTCGGTCGGGATTCGCGTGAGTCGCAGGATATTACAATGCAAAACCGCCGCAACCGCGCCGGAGAAGGCAGCGGGCGGCGGTTGACGTTTCGGGTGTGTTGCCTACCGATTGGTGCGGTAAGTCGTCTTTTCCTTGATGCGCGCGGCCCGTCCCTGGCGCCCTCGCAGGTAGTAGAGCTTGGCCCGTCGCACCTTGCCCTGCCGCGTCACTTCCAGCGACTCGATCAGCGGGGAATGCAGCGGGAAGACGCGCTCAATGCCAATGCCGGCGGTGATGCGCCGCACGGTGAAATTCGCGGCCGGCCCGGTCCCGTGGGTGCGCCGGATGCAAACTCCCTGGAACGCCTGCACGCGCTCCCGAGCCCCTTCCCGGATACGGAAGTTGACCCGTACCGTATCCCCGGGGCCAAATTCCGGGATGTTATCGTTGACTTCTGGGGCGACCAGTTCAGATGCTTTCATAATGACCGACTATAGGCTTACAAATTGTACGCACGGACAAAAGAACCTGTTTCAACGTTTTTCGGTACCGGCGCGTCGGCATTATAGCACAGGCTGATCCCAACGCCGCTGTTCACCGCGCGAGTCCCGGCAACGATTGCTGTGCCGGTCAGATGACTTCGACGGTCTCCAAATAAACGGTTTGGTCATCTTCCACCACGGAATCCCAGATTTCTATTCGGACGATTGACCCGGGAATAAAATCCACCCAGCGGAGGCCGGCAGGTTCTCCGGTTGTATCAAACAATGGGAAATAGTATGGGTTCAACGACAGCAGGCGAGCCAATCCTTGCAGTTTGCTTTCGGCAACTGGGTCGATAACACCGGAGTCTATGGCAGATTGCCACAAGTCGCTGAATTGGACCGTTTCAACAACCCTATATCGCATCTTGTCGTTCGACGAGGATGCGCGATATTTGCCGGCCGTTCTTCTGGATGTGTTCTGCTATTCTCTGCCCCCTCACCTTCACATCGTCGGTGAGCTTGGGGATTCTGATTCCCGCCAATTCCCAAGGCATCACCCGCTGTGGCTCCGTAGTCCGCCAGGCTACCTCGTCATGGGAATACTCTTCGATCTGCCCGGCGTTGAACTCGGCAAAACGGCGCAGCTGGTCGTCAAGAATAGAGCGTTCCTGGTCATTTAGCGGAGAGGTTGTGGCTTTTTGACCGAGCAGAGGCCGTTGGCGCTGATGCCGGCTCGAAAGAACCTCAACGTCGACTCGAACTATTTCCTCGCGTTCCAGTTGATCCGCCAGGGACTGCCAATCCTCGGGCAACGGACCATGATCCGCATGTATATAGTTGGACCCGGTGATGGACTTTCCCAATTGCAGGTAGGCAGCGCCATCCGCGTAGTACAGGAGCTCGACCAGCTTGGCGCATCCAAAAGTCTCGTCACGTTCCGAGCATTCCGTCAAGTAAGCCACCGCGGCCGCGAACTTGTCCCACTGCAACTGGAAGGATTTCTGCGCTTCCATCGGTTGCCTTCCTCCACCTGTCCATTTGCCGAGATAGATCAAGTGTACTAAGAATGCGGTGAAACCGCAAAATGGGAGAGTTGGCACAAATGCGCCAACTCTCCCATCGCTGCGCCGGAGGATTGCCTACTGCCGTGCGTACTTGTCCACTCGCTCCTGCGCGCCCAGCGCCATGTAGATGTTCCGCGTGCGTCCACCCAGCTCCCGTGTGGCGGACTCCGAATCCCACCGCGCCAGCACGTTGCCGTCCGGGTCCATGATGCTAACCCTGGGGGACATCCCGTTAGCGCCACCTTCGCTGATAACCAGGTTACTCTCGCTGTCCACCGAGATGTCCAGCGGCCGCCGCATATCCTCCCACATGGTGAGAAATTCGCCGTCTGGCGAATAGATCTGCATCCGGTTATTCTCGCGGTCGCACAGGTACAGGTTGCCGTTGGGATGCGCCACGATGCTGTGGGGCAGGTGGAACTCGCCCGGGCCGCCCTTGCCCGGCTCGCCCCAGGACTGCTTCAGCTGCCCGTCGCGGGAGAACCGATGCACCCGGGCGTTGCGGTACCCGTCGGACACGTACAGGTCGCCGTTGGGCGCCGGCACCAGCTCCGTGGGATAGTTGAACGGGCCGGCCGAACGCGGGCAGACCTCGCCGGGAACCTCGCAACCCGTGTCGGAGTGGACCCCCCGGTCGCCGATCACCTGCAACGGCTTGCCGTCCAGCGTGTAGATCACGCATACCGAGTCGGTGCGGTCGGTCAGGTAGACGATGTCGTCCTCGATGTAGATGCCGTGGGCCTCGTCGATGGCGCGCAGACCCCAGGAACCCAGGTAGTTGCCCCCCGGCCCGAAGATCAGCACCGGCGGGTCCTTGCGCTGGAACACGTAGACCCGGTCCTGCGAGTCCGTGGCCACCGCCGAGGCGTTGCCCATGGTCATTCCCTCGGGCAGGCGCGCCCAGTTTTCTTCCAGGGTGTAGGTGTACTTGCCGGAGCCTACGGTGGTCATGTTCAGCCTCCTGTATCGCTGTCAGCCGTGACGATTTGACGAGTTGTCCGGTGTCTTACGTTTTGCGCCGGTGTCTACGTTTTGCGGTCAAAGAAACCGTTGTTGATGTGCTCCCGCATGGTTTCCGCCACCAGTTCCGGGCGTTGCAACGGCACGTCGTGGATGCTGTCTTCCAGCCACACCGTCTGGCTCACCGGCAACAGCGCCGCCGCTTTGGCCATGGACTCTTCACGCCGGAACCGGCGGTCCATTGCGTCAGGCGTGGTCTGCCGCGCCGGCAGCATCAGGACCGGACACCGCAGCGTGGGGTAGAGCTGTGACGGCCGGTGGTCCCACAGCGCGTCGATGATGCGCAGGTGGTTCTCGCGGCGCAGGTGGGACTGAATCGTCCCGTCCTCCAGCACCCGGAAGTTGGCCAGCACCGCCTCAATCACTGTTTCCGAGGGATCGGGCCCGAACCGCGCGCCGGTAGCCACGCGTTCGCGCATCATCTCCGGCGTGAAGCCGGTGAAGATGGGAGGCGCCATATCCTGCCGCGCTTGCTCCAGAGACCATCCCGGCCGCGCCGACGGCTCGATGGTCCCGCCGTCCACGAAAATCAGGCCGGACGCCAAATCGGGTTCGGCGGCCGCCAGTTCCAACGCGACGTCCGCGCCCCATGAGTGGCCTACGATAACGGGGCGTTCCCACCCCAGGTATCCGATGAACGCCGCCGCGTCGCCGGACACGGTGGCAAAGTCGAAACCGTCGTCCACCTGCGCCGACAACCCGTGCCCCCGCTGGTCCAGGGCGGCGACCCGAAAGTCCTCCGCCAGCAGCGGCGCCACCAGGTCCCAGATGTGGCAGGTCGACGCCAGCCCGTGCAGCAGTAGCACCGGCTGCCCGTCGCCGCCCCAGTCGCGGTAGTGGAAGGGCAAGCCTCGCAGGTCGATATAGCAGTCGTTGGGTGTGGTCATGGGGCAGTCTCCTCGCGGCATTTTAGCACGGCCCTGCCTGCTATAATTTTGCCCGGCGGCCCATAAACCCGTTTCCCGGCCGCTTCAAACCACAGGAGGAACGCGCGAAATGTACGCCATTTTCGTTACCATCAACATCAAGGACGGCTACGCCGACGAGTTTTCCCAGGCCAGCCTCGGCGACGGCCAGGGCAGCGTCCGCGACGAGGAAAACTGCTTCCGCTTCGACATCCTGCGCAGCCCCGACCACCCCAACCAGTTCTACCTCTACGAGGTGTATGCCAACCGCGAGGCCCACGCCACCCACCGCGACCAGCCTCACTACGTCGCCTGGCGTTCCGCCGTGGAGCACATGTTTGAGGGCGACCTCGGCCGCGTGGAGATGGAAACCGTGTTCCCGTCCGACGCCGGTTGGAAGGCCCAGAAGCCTGGCCTGGTCAATTGGTAGACCCCATTCGACCTGCCCGCTGGTGATTCAATAGCGAAACCAGGGTCTCCATCACCGCGAACGACGCCCGGTTCAATAACGGCCGGCAGCGGAACCGTCGGCAATATCAGCCTGACGGTGATGCAGACCCCATAAACGGCGGAGGGACCATGCTCAAATCATTCGGTCCTCGCGACCTTGACCCGATTGCCGCCGTGGCCGCGGCGGCCTTTATCGCGCTGGCCATCTTTGCCTGGACGGTGAAAACCGCAATCGCAGACCCCGACGACCTCGGCGTCGTGAGCTGGGGCTGGAAGCTGTGGCAGATCGGCCGCTGGTGATGGGCTTCGCCGGCGTCTGGTGGTTTTGGCTCAGCACCAGGCGCGTGGCCTGGGTACGCAGCCTGGCGTTGGGACTCGTGGCGCTGACGGTTTTCATCAACGGCTACACCGGGCTGTTCGGCGACTACTCGGGCGACGTTTGGCGCACGGTCAACCCGCTGTTCATCGCCTCGTGCAGCGTCGCGGCGGTGGCCCTGTGGCGATGCGGATGCCCGGCCGGCAAGGTGGGCGCGTTCGTGACGGTCAGTCCTGGGAGCAGTGGTTTTCGCCAACGCCTACTTCGTCAAACAACGGGATCCTCTGGCAAATCCTCGACCCCGTGCGGATGCTCACGGAACTGTCCTGGGCCGCCATCGCCAACAAAGCGAACACCGCCCCCGGCCAACGCGGCTCCGGCCGATTCCACGGAGTAACCCCCGTCTTGGGTGACGTTCCCGCCATGCCGCCGGTGTACGCCCGCGTCCTGGACGTGGTGCGCGAGATCCCCCACGGCCAGGTGGCAACCTACGGCCAGATCGCCCAGATCGTCGGCGGCTGCACGCCGCGCATGGTCGGTTTTGCCTGGCGTCGCTGGCCCGGGACTCCGAGGACACCCGTCCCGAAGTGCCGTGGCAGCGCGTGATCAACGCCCAAGGCAAGATCAGCCCCCGCGGCGTCGGTCTGGGAGCGTTACTTCAGCGAGAACTCCTGGAGGAGGAAGGCGTCGAGTTCAGC